AACTCACTTGGTAGCCCAGGCTGGCCTCGAACTCACAGAGATCCGCCTGGCTCTGCCTCCCAAGTGCTGGGATTAAAGGCGTTCGCCACCACCGCCTGGCTTCCTTCTTCTATTTTTGAAACAGGCTTTCTCTCTTATGTCAACCTTGATGTCCTGGAACTCGCTATGTAGACCAGGCTGGCCTCAAGCTCAAAGAGATGCACATGCCAAGTACCGGAATTAAAACTGTGTCAGCGGGCTGGAGAGATGGCTCAGAGGTTAAGAGCACTGGCTGCTCTTTCAAAGGTCCTGAGTTCAATTCCCAGCACCCGCATGGTGGCTCTCAACCACCTGTAATGAGATCTGGTGCCCTCTTCTGGCCTGCAGGATACATGCAGACAGAGCACTGTATACATATTAAATAAATAATTTAAAAAAAAACCTGTGTCAGCTAAAATTCCTTTTAAGATGAGCCTCTGGGGTAAAAATTCATTTAACAAACATTGATAGAGTTGGGGGCTGAATATAAAGAGGCTGGACAGAGGAGAACAAAAGGCTCTGTTCTGAAGGAACTTGAGCAAAGACTAAAGGCAAACACTCTCTTGTGGAATTCACTGAATGAGGGGTCAAGAGTAAAATACCAGGGGCCAGTAGGGTCTCCCTACTCTGTCTGGGCCTGTGGCCAACTCCTTTCTCAGGACCCCATCTTTTTCCTGTTCCAGCACCCCACCACTCATACCTCTGCCCTCCGTACCACAGTTGGTTCATATCGCACAGGACATTCCTTCTAATTTGTTGGTGCTGGGTCTGGGAGTTCAACCTAATCTCAGCTGTTCAGGAGGCTGAGGCAGGAGGGTCACAAGTTCAAGGCCTGCCTGGGCTATATTAAGTGGTGAACTGGGAGAGAGCTTGTCTCAAAGTAATTCCTAAGAAGAGAATGGGGATGTAGCTCAGTGGCGGACGGTCGCCGTAGCTGGCACAAGATCTGGGTGCAATCCCACAAGATTTCAAGATTATAAGCTGTGATTATTTGCTTGTCTATTATAGCGACCTTATGTTTGTCTCTCCATCACACCCCACCCCTGTGCGTGGTAACTTTGGCTTCAGGCCCCCAAAGCCTCGTCTGGATGCGGCACCTACTGGCAGGCATCCAGAAGCGCGTTAAGAAGGCAACATAGAACAGTGACCAGTCCTCAGTGATTTCTTTGATTAGCTTGGATGCCAAGCCCTTTTCTGAACACCTGACCTACCGCATGAATCTATGTGACATCTCTGTTAGGTAGTAGCTGTCAACTCATCCAGGTTACAAGTCATCTCTGGAATGCAGCAGTGAGAAGTCAAATGACTTTCCTAAGATAACAAGTAGGTGGAGAAGCAGGCCATGGAATTCTGGCCTGCTCAGTCCTTTCGCTTATAACAGGCACAAGAAAGTACCGCTGGGAAGGTTCTCCACCTCTCTCTCTCTGCCAGCTGTGCCTAGCTCCTGGAGCTACCTTGAAGGTGACTGGCAGAAGGGCTGTCCCTGGGTGAGGCGGAGGCTGAGAGGGTGGTGACTGGCCTGGGCTGTGGGTTTGGGGTGGTCAGTTTTTGGACCCTGAACTGCCGTTAAGAGACCTGACAGAGAAGCAACAGGAGGTCGCGTCTGACTTGGGATCTCCTTTCCCAGTCCTGGATCTCAAGTTCGCTCACCTTCGAGGAAAGGGCCACCCTAACCGCGCAGGAGGCAATGTTTACGTAGCCGGAATGCATACGTTCAAGGACCGCTGTCGATTCTGGGGCTCAGGCAGGACATTTAAGAGGTTCAGCCGGGCCGGGGCTACAGGGGAGATGGAGCGGGGAGCGCGCTGCGTCTGCAGAAACCGCTCGGGTACCCACGCCGCTCCGAGTCCCAGCGCGCTTAGCGGGCTGGAGCAGCGCCGGGCAGCGCAGGCCGCAGGGCGGGGCGGGGCGGGACTTGGCCACGCCCCCAGCCCCTTTTTTTTTCTCTCCCGCCCAGAGCGCGAGTCACGTGGGTGCGTGCGCGTGGGCGGGGCGGCCCCTCGGGAGGAGGCTCGCTGAAGGCTGGGGGCCTCTTCGGCTCCGCGACCCGGCGAGAGAAGGAGTGGAGGGAGGGGCGGAGGCGCGCGGGGGCGGGGCCTGTCGTGGGGGGGCGGAGCCTGTTGCTAGGGTTGGAGCAGGAAACTGGGCTCAGGGGCCCGGCCTACTGGCTGCGGGCTCTGGCTGCTTGTTTACTCCTGGCGGGGGAGCAGTAACCCGGTGTGGGTAGGGGTGGGGGGGAGCGGGAGAGCGAGCGCGAAAACGCGGCCCGGAGTTGCGCGCTGCGGGAGCGGAGCGGGCTGGGGCTGGGGGCGCCGCGGCAGGCCTGGAAAGGAGCTGCATGATCGGGCCCGGCGCAGTCTTCAAACGAATTCCTAGCGGCAGCACAGCTCCTCGCCGGTGCGCCTTCCACCCTTCATACACAAGCAGTACTGTAGTTGGTGAAGGGTGCATGCACACCGTTTTTTAGGCCCTGAAATACTTGGATCCTTTCGGGTAGAGTTGTAGAGCTGTGTTCCCCAGCGTTGCTACCCTGAGAGGCGGACGCCCGCTGCGTGCTGTTCCTGAGTGGGTCTCTGCCACTCTTCTTAATCCAGGAAATGATTCATTTGCTCGTCCTCATGTCGTTTGCATGCCTGCATGTAGCCAGTCCCACAAATAAGTTCTTTTGGAATTGTTCTAGGCAGTTCAGTCTCGCGCTTGGTTTTTCTAATTCATGGGATGAGGCAAAGGGCTGCTCACCCAGCCCAAGTGCTCCACGGAATAATTTGTAAAAATTAGCGAACATCGGACAAATGCCTTCCTCAACTGAGTTTCCTATCATCTGAAAAATACAGAGCACAGAGAAACTGTAGCGCAGGTCATTTGATACTGTATTCATAACTACCATGTAGTCGTTTTATACCCGAGGACTTGAAACTCTTAAAGATACTAGTTGTTCAGAAGTCACAAGCCAGAAAAAAAAAAAGCAAAGGAACTAGCGTGAACAGGAGGCCTTTGACTCCCTAAAGGCGCTGACCCCATTGTGTGAGGATGTGTGATGTCCTGTCACTGGTGTGTCTGCATTTGGGACATCACTCCTCTGTTCCCTGGGGTTAGTTATTAAATATTTATTATTATTTTAGATTGTATGTGTGCTTGCGTGTGGGTTATGTGCATGTGAGTGCAGGTTCTGGCGGAGACCAGAGATGTGAGATCTTCTGGAGCTCGAGCTATAGGCTGTGGTGAGCCGCCATGTGGGTGCAGGGAACTGAACTCTAGTCCTCTGGAAGAGCAGCCCTCTTAACCCCTGAGCCAGCTCTCCCTGTGGTTTTATTTGGCTTCATGATCATAGAATCCTACCCTTTCTGGGATCCGTGGCCAAGGGGGTGGGACATTTTATCTCAGCAGTCAATTACAGTCTTTCCCCCGTGATCAACAGGAGGTGGTTGGGAGAGAAAGATTGTTTTCTGCTAGAGTTGCTAAGTTGAGATGTTGGAGTTGGGAGTTGCCAACAAACCGTGTTCCCAAGTCTATGAAGGAAGTCCTTTGGGGGAAGGGAGGCCCTTTTGAGGTAGGAAAAATAAATGGAACTACTAAGATAGAGCCAACAGACACGAGAAATTTGGAAAACTCAATCATTACAAGGTTGTTTAAACTTGGGCTCTCAGGGGCTGGGGATGGGTCTGGCTCCATGTTAGAGTACTTGACCAGCATGCGCAAGGCCCTGAATCCAATCCCTGGCACATTAAATTTCTCAATAAAGCCAGCAAGTTTGTGTTTTTTTGCTTAAGCTAGCATAAACCGAGTTCCTCTTACTTATCTCTAAAAAGAAGTCTGACTAATAAGTTTGGCACGGAGTTTATTTTTCCCTCCGAGAATAATGGAAGTTGGGTGCTGGCCACAACTATCACTTCTTAAGTGTTCTACTTCCCGTAATGAGTCATGCCAAGTGTGTGTGTCCCATGGATGTGGGTTAGACAGAAAGGAGCAAGTCCAATCCTTCAGTATTACTGCCGCTGCAAACAGGACACACTTTAACAAGCCCAAATTAAGGTTTACATAGATAACACTTAACCCTGGGATCCTGTAATTGTCTCAATTGTGAATAGACTATAGACTGAGATTCTAGACTTTTTTTCATTTATGTATTTGGTTTGTTTTTGTTTTTGTTTCTCTGTGCAGCCCTGGCTGTCCTGGAACTCACTATGTAGACCAGGCTGGACTCAAACTGAGCGATCTGCTTGCCTCTGCCTCCTGAGTGCTGGGATGAAAGGAGAGAGCCACTGGGAACTGCCTGGCCAATTGTGTATTTTTTAAAGAGTCTTGCTAAATAGCTCAGTCTGATGCTGACCTGTAATGCGTGACCTTCCACCTCAGCTTCCCCAGTATTGGGATTACAGACACATGCCACCACTCCTTGCTAAGAATGCTAAGGTCAAGTCTATTTCTTTCTTTTTTTTTTCTTTTTTTGGTTTTTCGAGACAGGGTTTCTCTGTGTAGTGTAGCTAGAGTTTTTCTGCCTTGCCCACAGTCAGGACAAATCTCTGTC